CTTTCTTTTTTTTTTTGAGCTGGAGTCTCGCTCTGTTGTCCAGGCTGGAGTGCAGTGGTGCAGTGGTGTGATCTCAGCTCACTGCAACCTCCAGCTCCCAGATTCAAGTGATTCTCCTGTCTCAGCCTTCTGAGTAGCTGGGACTACAGGTGTGTGCTACCATGCCTGACTAATTTTAGTATTTTTAGTAGAGATGGGGTTTCACTGTATTGGTCAGACTGGCCTTGAACTCCTGACCTCAGGTGATCCACCTGCCTCAGCCTCCCAAAGTGCTGGGATTACAGGTGTGAGCCACCATACCTGGCCACCTTGATTGCCTTTCTCCCCAATCCTTATCTTACATCCTCTACCCAGCCTTCAATCCAGCTCAGATTTTATATGTGCTGCAAAGCCTGCCTCGACTCTCCTTCCCCAACTGGAAGCCACCTTTCCTCTTCTGACCATCTGACGCTCTTTTTAAGTTCAGAAAATCTGTCTTTGCAAGGATGTACACAGCAACATCGTTGTAATAGCAAAAAGTAGGAAACAACATAAATGTCCACCAATGCGGTATCAGTTAAGTAAATTACTGTGCTCTGGTATATTGTGGAGAACATTGCAGCTATTAACCGTGGTGATATCGATCTATATATTTACTGATTTAGAAAGATGACCACTACAGATTGATGTGCAAAAATAGGGATGATTCTCTTTAAAAACTTAGGTAATTTAAATATCACCTTCTATAGTTAATGGCTGAAGTCTCCCTCCTTCCTTTTTGCTTGCCCAAGCTCTGACCCCAGAAGTAGCCTAACGTTTGTGAAAATCCTCAAAGGGTGAGGAGGGAGGATCCCATATGCTCACAGCTACAGTCTCTATTCTGCATCTGCCCTTGAAGATGCTCTAAGATGTTTCATTGCTTTGCCTTCTGATAGAGCCCTTCACGGGAATGATTTTGATTTACCCCAAGCCATCAGTCTGTGGGTAAGCACTGCATTCCATTGAGAGCTATACTCATCACGACCCCTCTTCCTCCTTTGTTCACCATATGTGATGAGACACATGCTAAACAGGATGTGATCCCTATCCTGAAAAGGCTCTTGGTCACTTCAGGCTTCTATTCCCAGGCCTTGCTTAGAAGTTCCTTTGTAGCTATAGGATCGTAGTACTTCCCCCTAGGGTAGGCATATGAACTGAGTGAAAAGATCTGGGTTCAAATCCCAGCTCTGTCACTTACTAGCTTACCATCCTAGGCAAGTCATTCTGTCTCAGACTCAGTTTCTTCATGTAAAATAGGAGTGGCAATGTTACTATTTAGCTTCCTGGCAAGGGATGAATGAAATGTGATTATCAAAGTTATTCATATATTATAAAAATCTCCCACAAAGGCTATTATTAAATACATGCCCAGTCCCACACCTCCTCTAACCTATGCTACCTGCCAATTCATACAACTTCTGGGAATTTTTAAACTCTAGTTTTTGTTTTTAAAAAAGGTTAGGATGGGAACAAAACCTGCATGACCTCACTGATCTGAACTTCAAGGGACCCTTTGACTGTGAAAGGCCTGATGTCAGCAGTGACCCTGACTCAGGATATGTCTTACCACGTTAGCAGTATCTAAGGTGGCAGCACTTCAGTGGATCCAACTCTTGGTTGAAACTCACAGCCCATTCCCAAGTTCTCATCCAGACCATAAGATGGGATACAGAAAACCACTACCTTACATGTCAGATAAATAGGGTCCCTTTGCTGAAAAGCAGAAATGTGCATTTCCATGAAACTGAGGATTTGAACAAGCAACCCACACCCAGGAGGTTGAGGAACATTAGATAAATGCCCCCAATTTCTCTTGCGTCTTCACTGCTGAGCCTCTCTGTTCTGCACTGAAGGCCATGATCACTTTGGGGTGTGTGAATTGTTGTGTGTTTCCCCTGTTGAGTGGTTTCTTTTGTGGGCCTCAGTTATAGTTATGAGGTGTTAACAGGCTCCTGGAAGAGCCATCAAATCAAATGGAAGGTGTTAGATTTTGATCCCTGGCTGTGGTTCAGGTTTATTTAATTTCTGTCTCCTCCCCGCACCTCCCTACTCTCAACCCTTTGGTCCATAAATCCAAGTGTATTATTTTTATCTGTTTGGGGGCTATATCCACTGTCATTCTTACCCTTTATAGCTTTGGAAATGGCCTTTTCTTTCCATCATGAAGAGGTTGGGCCTTGATGGGAAAACCTACCATGTTCAAATGCTTTGTACTCTTTTGATGCCCTTCTCCTGGGATCCAACAAGAACTAAGCGGGTCCTTACTGCTATGGTCCATGTAGTTGACTTACAAACAGCACATGTAGATTTGTCTTCTTATGTGCAGTTTTTATTTTAAACCCAAGAAGCTGGAAACAGTGGCTCACGTGTGTAATCTCAGCACTTTGGGAGACCAAGATAGGAGGATCACTTCAGCCCAGGAGCTCAAGACCAGCTTGGGCAACATGGAAAAACCCTGTCTCTAGAAAAAATACAAAAATTGGCTGAGTGTGGTGGTGCACACCTGTAGTCACAGCTACTCAGGAGGCTGAGGAGGAGGATGGCTTGAGCCCAGGAGATGAAGGCTTCTGTGAGCTGAGATCATGCCACTACACTCCAGCCTGGGCTACAGTTAGACCTTGGCTCAAAAACAACTACACACACACACACACACACACACACACACACACACACACGTGAGTGTGTAAAAGTAAAAGTAAAATAAACCCAACTGTACCCTAGTTCTTTAGAAGCTCCCGCTGGGTCAGATGTGTGGTTTTCCTACTGGTCATTTATCATCTTGATAAACTCAGAACTCTCATTGACTACTCTGTTGATGGACAATCATTGTCTCTCATATTTTGTCTCTCTCAATTTTGATTTAAAAAAAATACTTATTTATTGGAGAAAATGTGGAACATCAAGATGCATAAAACAAAATGTAAGAATCACAGATGAGCTGTCTTTATGAGACAATTGCTGTTAATAATTGCCATGTCTTTCTAATCTTTCATCTAAGATCAAATTGACTATTTAGCAGAATTGGGACCATTCATTTATTCATTTTGGTAAGTTTTTTTTTTTTTTTTTTTAGAGATGGAGTCTTGCTCTGTCACCCACGATGGAGTGCTGGAGTGCAGTAGTGCCATCTTGGCTCACTGCAACCTCCACCTCCTGTGTTCTAGCAATTCTCCTGCCTGAGCCTTCTGAGTAGCTGGGACTACAGGTGCATGTCACCATGCCCAGCTAATTTTTCTTATTTTAGTAGAAACGGGGTTTTACCGTGTTTCCCAGGCTGATCTCGAACTCCTGAACTCAGGCAATTCACCCACCTTGGCCTCCCAAAGTGCTAGGATTACAGGTGTGAGCCACTGTGCCTGGCTGGTAAGTTTCTTTTTTAAAAAAATGTATCAGAGTCATGTTACTATGCCTGCTTAAGCATTCTCACTTAGCTGGGTGTGGTGGCTCACATCCGTAATCCTCGCACTTTGGGAGGCTTAGGCGGGAGGATGACTTGAGCCCTAGAGTTTGAGACCAGCCTGAGCAATAGAGTGAGACCTCATTTCTCCAAAAGGGCTTAAAAAATTAGCCAAGGATGGTGGTGTGTGCCAGTGGCAGGATCTCTTGAGCCTGGGAGGCAGCAGTTGCAGTGAGCTGAGATCACACCACTATACTCCAACCCAGGCAACAGAGTGAGACCCTCTTTCAAAAATTAAAAATAAAAAGCATTCTCACTCCTTTACATGATTCCTCATGTTCACAGAACACTGAGAGTACCTGTCTTCAGTAGCTTCTCATGCACCAGTTCTCTGTGCTGACCTTGTCTGGTTCCAGTTTCAAAGAGTTCACACTCTGGGGCTGGAGACAGGATCTTTGGAGTCATCCAGAAAGCCCGAAGTATGGGACTATTCCTGTCTGAACATGTCTATGGAGTCACAGGATGAACAATGTCAGCATAAAAATGTAAGATATTCTCATGTCAAAAAGAACCTAAGAAATCTGCTCAGGGCACTAATTGAGTAACTTAATTATCAGATCCATTGATTTCTTTCTACAACTGCCCACAGGTTGGAATGCCATTTTTTGTCATTTATTTACTTATTCATTCATTCATTTATTAAGTAGACTTTATTTTTCAGAGCAATTTTAGGTTTACAGCAAAGTTGAACAGAAAATACAGAATTCTCATATACTTCCTCCCCTGCTATTAACGTCTGACACCCCAGTGAAACATCTGTAACATCTTACAGTCTCATGAACCAACAATGGCACATCATTATCAATAAAGGCCCTTAGTTTACAATAGTGTTGTGCTTTCTATGAGTTTTGACAAATACATAATGACATGTGCTATGGTCTGAATGTGTTTGTCCCCTCCAAAAATTGAGGTGTTGGAAACTTAATCCTCAATGCAACAGTGTGGGGAGATGGGGCCTAATGGGAGGTGTTTAGGTCATGAGGCTCCACTTTCCTGAATGGATTATTTTATAAAATGGGCCTTTGGAAAGAATTATCTGTCTCCTGCTCTTCTGCCATATAAAGAAATAGCATTAGCTCTGGAAGATTCAGCAAGATGGTCCTAACCAGATACCTGATGTCAGCACTTTGATCTTGGACTTCCCAGCCTCCAGAACTGTGAGAAATAAATTTCTGTTGTTTCTAAATTACCCGGACTCAGTTGTTTTGTTGTAGCAGCACAAAATGGATAGACCACATGTATTCACCATCATAGTATGTACAGAATAATTTTATTGCTCTAAAAATCCTCTATGCTTTCCTTATTCATTCCTCTCTCTCTCTAGACCCCTGACAACCACTAATCTTTTTACTGCTTTCATGATTTTGCTTTATCCAAAATGTCATATAGTTGGAATTGCATAATATATAGCCTTTTTAGATTGGCTTCTTTCACTTAGTAATATACATCTAAGGTTCCTCTATGTCTTTTCATGGCTTGATAGCTCATTTCTTTAGCACTAAGTAATATTCCATTGTCTAGACATGCCACAGTTTATCTGTTCACTTATTTGAAGGACATCTTGGTTGCTTCCAAGTTTTGGTAATTCTGAATAAAGCTGCCATTGACATCTACAAACAGGTTTTTCTGTGGCGTAAGTTTTCAACTTTTTTGGGTAAATACTAAAGAGCAGTATTGCCGGATCATATGGTAAGAGTATGTTTAGTTTTGTAAGACATCACCAAACCAATTGTCAAAGTTTCTGTACCATTTTGCATTCTCTTTGGTGATGAGTAAGAGTTCCTGTTGCTCCACGTCCTTGCTAGTATTTGACGTTGTCAGCGTTTTTTATTTCAGACAGCCTAACAGGTGTGTAGGGGCAACTTTAAAAAAAAAAAAAAAGATAAAAAGGCTTTCCTAGTTGGAATTGCCTAGCATGAGTCTGTGAATGTGGATCTAATATATTATCCACTTTCTGTTCTTAAGCAAAAGTATGCTAACTTCTGAGAGCCACACAGTTTGTCCCTTAGCCCCTCCATTTTAGCACCATACCTGGTACCTTGTAGGTGGTTAGTAAATATCTGCTAATTGCATTGTTTCTAATAACCCAGCTGCCTCTGCTTTTGAGAACCATAAAGAATTCATTTAGAGAGTTTCAGACCAGCACTTAGGCATATGCATGCACATATACAGTGCACACGCATGCACACACACACACACACACACACACACACACACACATGCACTCTTCTGCTGTAGCTTGGGACTGTATTATTCAGACCCTTGAGCTCCAGATTCTGAGTACATCCAAATGTTGGCCTTGTAAGTGATAACAAATGAAGCATGTTTTGGTGATGTTTTATTTTGGTCAATAATCAAGTCTAGTATCACATCTGTGTCTTAGACCATGAAAAAGTCACTCCCTCTATTGCTGACAATATGAACAAGTCTCACACACCTGCATCTAAGGACACTCACATCTTGTCAGGATAGAAGCAAAGGCTGATGACAGCTGTGGTCACCACCCCTCTCCTTTTTTCCTTCCATCATGGTTCTTCTTAGGAGGGTTCTTGAAGTAAGGAGACCTGACATCTTCTGAATCCTTTGGAGCTAAACCTACCATCCATTTCTTGTGCTCCCACTGTACTCTGTACTTATTCTGCATTATGTGCTTTACATAGGGTAGGTGGTATTGAATGTGTGTTGAATGACTAATGTACCTTTGAGCTGATGTAGAAGTCCAGAGTTTCCTAGTAAAGAACCACATAACATTCCTAGGTTCATTGTTTAGAGCCATTATTGTAGCTGCTTTGCAATAGCAGAAATGACTACAGGTTTTTCCCTTATGAGCCTACATCCATAGCCAAATGTGGAACCAATACTCCCCAACCCCCTACCTCCTGCTTATTGTCAAAAACACATCACACATTGTAGCAATCATATTGCCAAAGCTTTATGGCATCCATAAATTGAAAACTACTGCCTCTGACAGTTATGGGCTTATGTCAACACCAGATCACGTTGACTCTTCTGGAATGTGTTTGCAAATCCACTACACCAGCCTTGGAAGCTGTTGACATCAGAGGCTGTAAGTTAATTAGATGTGCCCCAGAGCATTGTGGGTCTTGCCATCTAGGAGAATTATTTTTTCTTAAATTCTTCTCTTTAATTCAGTCCAAGGGTAGGTGCTGTCTTGGCTGCCTTATTTGGTGGGAGTCTGAGTTGCTGGGCAAGTGATGATGTCTGTGAATAATTTCTCTTTCTTCCCTTTTGGCAGATGGCAGTAGGAATGGCTGGGACAGTGAGAAATGGTCGTGGCCATGAACTCTGCTCTGAAGGAGAGACTCCTCACCACCTGCATATTTTAAGCAGTCTCTGTCCAACTATGCCATTGCAGCCCTCTGGGCAGGATATTGCTGAGAACTGTGCTGTGGCTCCATTTTAGTGGCCATGCAAGCTGTGGGCTCCCTGGCCCTTATGTGTGCATGTAACGGAGTGCCTGAGAGGACATCCTGGCTCTTTGGAGGTCCTTTCTCTGCCTATTTTTCCTCTCTACTGTAACATCCTTGTTGTTCAGAAAGAAAATGAGAACCTCCCACTAGTTAGAATATGTTCCTGAGTATATACAGTTTCTATTCTGGAGGAGCCAAGAAAGGAAGAGGATTCTGACTGGTTCTATCAGGCTTCAAGGAAAATGGCTGTCCTGTGAAATCGTCAAGACTTGGGTTCCTTCTTCCACTGCTGTGCCCTGGTGCAGGGCATTACCCCCAGCCTGACAGGTTGTCATGAGTGCTTCAGCTGACAGGAGCAAACGTTGTGACAGAAGTGGACACCTGGAGCAGTGGGAAATGAAGCCAAGGAGGTCAGGGAGAGCCCTGCAGAGCTGTCTGCTGCCAACCTCCTTCCCTGCCCTGTCATATTGATTCAGCTTCAGGTGCCAAGAGCTGAGCAAGACGCAGAGACAGTTTACATTCGAGTGGTGGGAAACACACACACGCACACGCACAGACACACAGGCATTTCCACACAAAACCACCTAACATGTATCCGTGAAAAGGCGTGGTGGCTGAGTCAGTACCTCTGGAGTTCTAAGTAATCGGTAGATGATATGTAGGCTCAGAAGAGAGAGGTACTTTTAGGCAGGTGGTCTAATTATGAAATAAATGTGGTAGTCCAAGCATGAGCTACATAGCAACTCAACTAAAGTAGAGAGAGCTCAGAGGGAGTGAGGGGCGGGGGTCGACAAGAGATGCAGTGAGGTGTTGAAGAACAGGCTTACACAAAATGAGTTGGGGAAATCTCAGGAGACCCTCTAACCAGTCCCCAGCCCTATTTAAGGCAGTGGAGTGGCTATGGCCGTGGAGGTTTTGCTGTCAACCTTTGGGGATACAGATGCTCCATGGTTTCCAATGAGGTTACCTCTCAATAAACCCACTGTAAGCTGAAAATATTGTAACCTAAAAATGCATTTAATACACCTAACCCACTGAACATTGTAGCTTAGCCTCACTACTTTAAATTGCTCAGAACACTTACATTAGCCTACAGCTGGACAAAATTGTCTGGCAACACAGTTCACTGTAGAATATCGGTTCTCTACCCTCATGATCATGAAAGAGTATCATACCACTTTCCACTGGCTTTGTATCATTTTTGTACCATTGTAAAGTTGAAAAATCATAAGTCTAAACATCTGAAATCAGGGACTGTCTGTATTTCAACATTTAATTACCATTTTCAAACACATCCCAGAAAAATCCCTCTGCTTTAAGTTGCTTTGTGATTCATTCATTCGTTCACTCACTTACTCTTTCATTCATTCACGCTTCAACAATTACCAAGCATATACTTTTTGCTTGGCCCTCTGCTAGGCTGTGGGGATTCATTCATAAATCAGACCTCCTGCCTGGCCTCAGAGAGCTTACAATTCAGGAGACATCATATACATGTAAACATGTAGACATATATGCAAGTAATAAAGGGCAAGTAATACATCTGCAGAAGGCACAGTGAGCACATAAAGGAAGACGTCAGCTCTGCATTGAGGTGTGGGGCTAGGAGTGTCTTAAAAGAGGAAGTGATCATTGGAGTTTTTTTTTTTTTTTTTTTAATAGGCTTTGCCAAATGGACAAAAGGGAGTCGGGGGAGAATTTTTCAGCAAAGAGTAGAGTATCCAAAAGGCTCTACATGGGAATGACTGAGGAGGACTCTGAAATTGGATTCTAAATTCCCTAAGGTAAGGCATGGCGGGCTGGGGATACTAGAAGTCAGCAGGTCACTATGTCTTGATTTACTGTATGTATGATTGGAAATAACACATTTCTATTAAAGCCAGTAAGGCTACTATGAGGCAGGATGCAAGAATATCAAAACTTATTCTAAAACAAAAGACTTCCCAGCATGTTGGGAGGCTGAGGCAGAAGGATCACTTGAAGCCAGGAGTTTGAGATCAGCCTGGGCAACATAGTGATACCCCCGCTCCTACACGCACACACACACACACACACACACACACACAAAAACCCAGCAGGACATGGTGGTGCATGCCTGTAGTCCCAGCTACCTGGCAGGCTGAGGTGGGAGGATCACCTGAGCCCAGGAGTTCCAGGTTGCAGTGAGCCCTGATTGCCCTGCTGCACTCCAGCCTGGGTGACAGAGCAAGACTCCGTCTCTAAAAAAATAAATATAGATAAGTAAAATTTAAAAAAGACTTTTAAAGAGATGTAAAGGTTTTTGCAGACTATTTCAGGGTATGCCCCTGCCCTAGTCTGCTCAGGTGGCTATAAGAGATATCACAGACCAGGTGGCTTAAAGAAAAGAAATTGATTTTCTCACACTTCTGGAGGCAGAAGCCTCAGATACAGGTCTGGCAGGGGCAGTTCTGGTGAGGGCTGTCTTCCTGCTTTGCAGATGGCAGCCTTCTTGCTGTGTCTTCACATGGCAGAAAAAGAAAGCACTGGTGTCTTTTTCTCTTCTCGTAAGGACACCAGCTCTATCAGACTAGGGTCTCCCTCTCATACCCTCACTTAACCTTTGTTACCTCCTTATGAAGATGATACTTCTTTTACCCACCTCTTCATTGCAAACAGTCGGCTGACACTAATAATGTTTTCAAGAAACTCGATGTGAAAGTTGTAAAGAAAGGAGAATCTCACAAGAAGGCCAAGAGAAGTGAGCCGCAGACAAATCACAAGGGCCCTACATTTAGGCTAACTCTGTCTCATAGGCAGCCAGAAGCTCCTGAGACAGAGAATCTTGATTGATTTAGGTTTCCGAAAGATCGTTCTGGCTGCAGTCAGTAACTATTCAAGGAGGCAGAGAGACTGGTTAGGAGGCTCTGGCCCTGGGCAGGTGAAAAGCTGAGGCTTGACAGGTTGTATAGAAATGAAAGATGTTTGGGGGATAAAATTAAATAAATTGATGCCCTATTTGATTTGTGGGGAAGAGGGAAGGCAATGGAGAACTGTGGGTGACTCAGGTTCTTGGCTTGGTAAATGGTATTCCTCTGTTCTGGATTTCAGGGGAGCAGAAATCTGCTCCAGGACTCACCTCTTGATAGCTAAACTACTTGCAAACAGTAATCAAGTCCCTTCCTGTTCTTGGCTTCCTGAGCTCTTCCGCCATTTTTCTCGCAGTAAAATCGAGTTGTTGGCAAGTTAGAGCAAACACAGGTGTGGGAAAAAAAGGGAGGCCAGGTGCGGTAGCTCATGCCTGTAATCCCAGCACTATAGGAGGCCTAGGCGGGAGGATTGCTTGAACTCAGGAGTTCAAGACTGGCCTAGCCAACATGGTGAAACATTGTCTCTATAAAAATTACAAGAATTAGCCTGGCCTGGTGCTGCATGCCTATAATCCCAGCTACTCATGAGGCTGAGGTGGAAGGATCACTGAGCTAGCTCACTGATCACTCAGTGATCACTGAGGTGGGAGGATCACAGGGAGGTCAAGAGTGCAGCAAGCCGAGATCTCGCCACTGCACTCTAGCCTGGGTGACAGAGCGAGACCCTGTCTCAGAAGAAAGAAAAAGAGAGAGAAAGAGAGAAAGGAGGGAAGGGAAGGGAAGGGGGGGAAGGGGAGGGGAGGGAAGGGAAAAAGGGAAGGGGAGGGGAGGGAAGGGAAAAAGGGAAGGGGAGGGGAGGGGAGGAGAGAGGAGGGGAGGGGAGAAAAGAAAAGAGAAAAGAAAGAAAAGAAGAGAGGAATAGGGGCTTCTCTCGGTTGAAGGTGGACACCGGCTGTTTTGACCACCCAGTTGTTCTTTCAACCTGGTAGATCAAGCCCTTCCCCATGCTCTGTAAAGTCTTGGTGGGTCTGGCAATCAAATTAAGCCAATCTAATTGGCTTTACTGGGTCACTATCCCAACATAGTCAAATAGATTCACCAGGAATCTTTCTTTTTTTTGAGACGAAGTTGCCCATGCTGGAGTGTGGTGATGCAATCTTGGCTCACTGCAACCTCTGACTCCCGGGTTCAAGCGATTCTCTTCCCTCAGCCTCCAGAGTAGCTGGGACTACAGGAGCTGCCACCACGCCTGGCTAATTTTTGTATTTTTGGTAGAGATGGGGTTTCACCATGTTGGCCAGGTCTCAAACTCCTGACCTCAGGTGATCCACCTGACTTGGCCTCCCAAAGTGCTGGGATTACAGGCATGAGCTGCTATGCTTGGCCTTCACCAGGAATCTTGAACAGCTTGATACTGGACAGAAAATGTCCTGAAGGATAATCTGTACTGTATGCCCTGTTATCTTGATCCCAAGATCTTCCCTTCTTCCTGCCCTTTCTAACACTAAGGGATTCAGCATTTCTTTTGATGTTGTGAGCTAGCCTGTATCCTTTCAGTAAATTTTTTTTTAATTTTACATACTTAGTATCCATTATTTGTAACTAAGGAAACTTAGCTGATGTCCGGAGAGTGGCAAGAAGGGCCCAGTATCCCACAACTGTTTCTGTTGGGCCCCCCTTGGGCTGTGGGTGGAGGCCAGAGTTCTGCTGCCTCAGATGGCCATCACATGCTCTGCACAGTCCCTCTGCCCATCTGCGGCAGGGAGTCAGGTTTGTCCCTTCATGTTGAAACCATCTTCCCAGCCAGCCCAGGCTCAGTTGACAACCTTATGGAAATTACTTCAGCTGCCTTTCCCAGCTGTCAGACTCTGTGGAGGAGGAAGTCATAATTGAGGGAATGGTGGAAGACTGTCCACAGTACTGTCCCCAGGGAGGGCATGGAAGGACAGCAGGGGCTCTGACTGCTAGAGAGAAAGTGAAAATGGAGAGTCATAAAGGGAGGGAACGACAGATGGAGATGGCCTCAGGTGAGCTTTGCCAGTGCAATATTAGCTTTCCTTACTTTTATTTTTAAAGGTACCAATTCCAAGATCTGCTGCCAGTAGTTTCTGAAATGCCAGGTCTGAGTGCCAGAGCAAGCTGGAAAGCCAGCCAGCCAGGACTGCACGTGCCAGAAGATGACAAACACAGCCACTCAGTGCGGCTTGCTGGAGAGCTCAGTGCCTTCTCATTTCTGCCAAATGAATGTGGCCATCAAGGTAATCTTCCAGGCCTCTGGTCCAGAGAGGCAGACCCACCCTGGAACCCTGGAGCTGGTTTGGGGGCTTTAATGAATGATTCTCCTTGTCACATTCGGGCAGGTCTGTAGCCATCAAAGAAATTCAGCTCTCTTCGTGTCTCCTGCTGCCAGGAGCGATTACAGAACATCTGTCAGTGGTTGGATCAGGATTCACTTCTGTCTCTATAATCCTTTGAGCTTTCTTTAAACAAAGAGGCTTACCACCTTCTTCCCCATCCTCCTTCCAAAAGTAAGCTGTCAAAGGGCATCAGTACAGAGATTTTTGTGTTTTATGTTTCTAGAAAGAAGTATCAAAGGCAATGATAATAACAGAAGAATTGCCCTGAGCAGGCACTCACGATCTATCCTGTACACATAAGAAATCTAAGTATGAGATAACTGATATTAGGTGTAAATATCAGGCCTTAGGTATACATTTATTATTTACTGGGCACTTATGATGTTCCAGGCATTGTGCTAGGTGCTATCTGAGAAGGCTCTGAGGAACTTAGTTGCCTGTTTCATAGAAGACAACGACAGGGTCATAAATAACTGGAGTTCAAAGTCTAACGTTCAGCTCAGGTTCAGCTCAGAATACAGAAGTTGTGGTGGGGAAAGTCTGATTTTAAAATCCCCATGCTCCAACTGCCGTCAGGGAAATGTCTGGTCCACTCTTGGGTACTTATCACATATCTCCTTGGATGATCAGCTCTCCTTGTAGGTATGTGCATGTATCTCCACTTAAGGGGAGGGAAGGGAGAGACTCATCTTTTTTTTTTTTGAGACAGTCTCACTCTTTTGCCAGGCACCAGGCTGGAGTGCAGTGGGACGATCTTGGCTCACTGCAACCTCTACCTCCCAGCTTCCAGCAATTCTTCTGCCTCAACCTCCAGAGTAGCTGGGACTACAGGCATGCGCCACCACACCCAGCTAATTTTTGTATTTTAGTAGAGATGGGGTTTCACTATGTTGGCCAGGATGGTCTTAATCTCTTGACCTCGTGATCCACCCACCTCAGCCTCCCAAAGTGCTGGAATTATAGTTGTGAGCTACCGTGCCCAGCCTGAGACTCATCTTTGACCTCATATCTCAGAAGAAAGTGTGCACTGATTGATGGACTGGTTGGTCCAGGCAAATTCAGGGATTTTTCAGGATTCACTTTAGGGCTCCTTATGAGTGGCAGTTCAGGAAGGAGACATTTACTCATCATTTTGTACTCTTCTGTACTCTCTGGGTTTTGTTAAATATCCTTAAATCTTTAGTGCCTGGTGCCAATTGTCTCTGAGTAGAAAGTTGGCCCTAGTTTGCATGATGACATTCAGTGTAGCAATTTTTAATCATGTTTTATGAAGAGCACTGAATTCTGGGTCCTCTAGTAGAGGAACATGTTTGACTGAGTGTATTTGCTGGATCAGGCAGGTTGGATGTGCTTCTGATAACTGAAAAAAACATAATAGGGACATCACAAGCATATAGTGGTGGTTTGGTTTTCTTTCTTAATGATAAGCTGCCTTTAAAAACTACATATTCTGAGGCTGGGCACACTGGCTCATGCCTGTAAACTCACCACTTTGGGAGGTCGAGGCAGGTATATTAGGTGAGGCTAGGAGTTCAAGACAAGCCTAGCCAAAATGGCAAAACCCCAGTCTCTACTAAAAATACAAAAAAATTAGCTGGGTGTGGTGGTGCACCTGTATTTCCAGCTACTTGGGAGACTGAGGTGTGAGAATCACTTGAACCTGGGAGGTGGAGGTTGCAGTGAGCTGAGATGGTGCCATTGCACTCCAGCCTGGGTGACAGAGTGAGACTCTGTCTCAAAAATAAAATAAAATAAAAATAAACTATACATTCTAAACTACTATTAAGAACCTCCTTTCCTACTGGACAATCCCTGCCAGCCACCTTCCTGGCTGTACAGGTGTGGAGACCTGGCCCTGTGCCATCCTTGTCCTGAAACCAAAAGACCCCATGGGACAAGAAGGGAAGTGCTAGATTTTCTAAAGCACAGAGAAATGAAGTTCGCTTAGCTCTGCTAAAAAGTTTCAGTCAGACTTTATCCCGGAGGACCTTGGCCAAGAAACTGTTTTCAGAAGAAGTAAGTCTTAAACACTCAACCTTCCTATGGCCTTCATAGCAGTGCCTTCCTTCCAGAAGCCTTTTCCCTTCTCCCCACAGTGAAATGTGTGTCCAACCAAGGCAAGTGCTGGAGTGGATGGAAGTTCAGCAACTTAAAGATAAATTCCAAATTACAAGGACATACCCACCCAGAGCTGTTATTTTCAGCCAGGCACTGGGGAAACAGGCCGAGCGAGCTCTGGAGCAGGCCCTTTGGAATCTAGGCTGTACCAGTTATGGGGCCTTGGGCAACTTAGCTACTTAACATCTTTGAGTCTTACTTTATCTATAAAATGGGAATTAAAATATCCTCCCTGCGAGATTATTGTAAAGATTAGAAGTAATAAAGCAATCCATGGTGATATGATTAAACTTTCATTCATCCATCAAACATTACTTTTTGACTACGTGTTAAGCAGTATGCTGGGAGCCAAGAGAGGTTTCAAATAGTAATTCAACAGGCCATTGCCCTGCAGGGATTCAAATCTAGAAGAGGTGAAAATTTTAACAAATACACACCTGTAATCCCAGCATTTTGGGAGGCCGAGGTTGGTGGATCATGAGGTCAAGAGATTAAGACCATCCTGGCCAACAGGGTGAAACCCCGTCTCTACTAAAAATACAAAAATTAGCTGGGTGTGGTGGTGTGTGCCTGTAGTCCCAGCTACTTGGGAGGCTGAGGCAGAAGAATCGCTTGAACCTGGGAGGCAGAGGTTGCTGTGAGCTGAGATCGCACCACTGCATTACAGCCTGGGGACAGAGCAAGATTCTGTCTCAAAAAAAAAAAAAAGAAAAAAAAATTAACAAATACATTAAATCAGACGATGAATGCAATAATAGAATATGTACCATGTTTACTGGTGTTACAAAAATAGGAGTGAAATTCAGAATTCAGAAATTACTATAACAAGTAATGTTTTGATAAGTATGATGATTTCTTCCCAAAGAATTGCTGATTATACTTAAGTAGTTCATTTATTAAATAGTTTAGCCTGATATGGATCAAAAAGTCAAGAGAGGGTCTCTGTCTCTTTTCCCCATTCCTGCTGCCTCTGCTTGGCTGAAAGTGGCATCACCTGCAGGCTGGTGACCTGCAACAGCTTCCTAGCTGAGCTTTTTACCTCCAGATGTGCCCATCGCCATCCATTTGTTTGCTGATTGTTGTTGATGCTAGTAATAGTTCCTCACATCTCTACAGTGTTCCACTCAATTATACTCTTTTCTCAAAAGGAATCTAAATTGAGCTTCACTACAACAAAGTGAGATGTAGGAAGAACAGAGTGATTATCCTCAATTTTAAGGAAAGTGAGAGCCTTAGAAGTCAAATGACTTACCTGGGACCAAGCTGAAACTGAAACTTATCCTTTCTGAGTCCAAGCCCAGTAATTTCCTTTCCATGTCTCTCAAGCAAAGGCATGGGACTCTTAAATAATATTATGGCTTCTTGTTTCTCAATACAACTGACAACTTTGTTGGTTGTTAGAGCTCAGGGGAAGCATCTGTTTGACTAGAGAGGTCAGACATTTCCAGTCACTTTTGCCAAACCTGAGAGTAATTAGGGAGTGCAACTAAAGTCCTCTCCTATGCCAGAGACCTCTTGGGTCAAGCTCCTGTCATTGGCACAGGGGCAGTTTTCACAGCCAGATGGAGATTCTGGGTGAAACGCCTGGCAGACAGGGTTTTTTCCTTGCTCATGCTCCAAGGGGCACCCTGTGAGGGGCCAGGACTTGGGTCTAGGAACAGAGTGTGCCAGGCACAGCTCTGGTTCAAGAGGGCTGCTGAGCAGTGTCCAGGCTCCTTCTTGTTCTGGCGTTACAGGAATTGTCTTCTGAACAGCACTCGCTTCTGCTTCATTAATTTCACATATTCCCTCATATGTTCATCGATTCAACATATATGAAGCACTATTTAAGCATGGAGTATGCAAATCAGAAAAAGACACAGTCCTGGCCTCTTCCTTCCATCTCTCTGAGGACTGTACTGATTGTGTCAGTCCTGTACCTGCTTCACTAACCCAGCCCCCAAGGGAATGCCACATGCTCACAGCCCTTCTGCCAACATGGCCAACTCTGGTACCATGTGACCTGCCTTTGCAGCCTAGGCTGGGCACCTAACCCAGAACAGACATCCAATTGGCTACCCCCTAATGTGACCCTCTGGGAAAATCTGAGCCACATCAATCAGATCTGTGCTCCTGGAAATTTGAATTAGGAAATATGGAATGATAGAGGCAGTCCAGGGGCACGAGCCGTAGGGCTGACTGACTTGACGTTGAGTCTGGGCCATGGCTGGCTGAAACCACATGTAAGCTAAAGAGATGGAGAAGAAGAAACTGATTAAACTTCAAGGGAAGCTTACACCTGTAATCCCAGCACTTTGGGAGGCCAAAGTGAGAGGATCACTTGAGGCTAAGAGTTTAAGACCAGCTGGGCAACACAACAAGACCCTATCTCTACCAAAAAAAAAAGTAAAAGGGATACAATGGTGAACAAGTAGACAAAACTCCTCTCCACTGGGAGTAAAAATCTTCACACAGTGCTTGCATGGATACAAGGCCCTATGTAGTCTAGGTCTTGCTCACTCACCAGCTTCGTGTCCCCAACAAGGACTCCAGGCGTATTGCAATTTGCAGTTCCAACATGCAATTTCCGAGACATGGTGGGATCCTTTCCATCATAGTATCTCTGTGTGGAATGTGCTTTCTCCACCTCTCAATGCTTACTCAAAAGCAAGACTCAGCACAAATATCATCTTCTCCTTGAACTCTTTGCCTGACTAAGGCCCCATTTCCCCATCCCAGTGAAAGTGCAAAGCCCTTCTGTGTATTTTTATAGTGCCCTATATGTGTGCCCTTACAACACTATC